ACTGTGGATCCAAATAAAATGAAATCCTTGACAATTTCAATATTTTCTGTTTATCATAATGTTGTTCATTGGTCCAGTTGTGAGGATTTTTGTTTCCTTTATTTTACGTGTAATCCATACTGAAGGCTGTGTATGTATGAGTGTGGGTATGTATATCTGGTAATAGTGGGCCCATATGCCTGTGCAACTCCAGCAATTGTTAGCTGTATCTCAGTAGTGACTGCTCCCTTTATTATTTTTTTAAATAATATTTTATTGTGTTTTAGGTTAAAGTTTACACAGCAAATTAGGTTCCCCTTTAACAATTTTTATACAAATTGTTCCGTGATGTTGGTTACAATTTTCACAATGTGGTAGCATTCTCACTATTTCCATTCTGCTTGTTCTGTTTCCATTGTTCTGGCTTCCCTTCCCCTCCTTGCCTTCTCATCTTTGCTTTTGGGTAAATGCTGATCGTTTGGTCTCATATAGTTGATTGTTTAACGGAGCATATTATTCATGGGTGATACTGTTTATTTTATAAGCCAAACCATTATTTGGCTGAAAGGTGACCTCCAGAAATAGCTCAGTTCTGAGTTCAAAGGGTATCTTACAGCAATAGTCTTGGGGATTCCTCTAGTTCTATCAGTCCAGTAGGTCTGGCGTTTTTCAGGAATTTGGATTTTGTTCTACGTTTTTCGCCCATTCTATCCAGGACCTTCCAGTGTGTCCTTGGTCAGAATGGTCAGTAGCAGCAGCCGGGCACCATCTAGCTCTTCTGGTGTCAAGTTAGAAGAGGCTGTAGTCATATAGGCTATTAGTCCTGTAGACTAGTTTCTTTTTAGAGCTTTTGATTTCCTTCGTTCTCCTTTGCTCCATAGAAGCAGAGACCAATAGCTGTATCTTAGATGGTCGTTTGAAAGCTTTTAAGACCCGAGATGCCACTCACCAGACTAAGATGTAGAACATTATGAACTATATTATGCCAATTGACAAAGTTCTTCCCCAAGACCATGGTCCTAAACTTTTAATCCAGTAAACTAATCCCACAAGTTGCTTGGATATGTCTAGGAAGCCTGCGTAACTGTGCCCCCTACGTGCTTTGTTATATATATGGATATACATGCAGCACACACAAACATGATGTACATATGCCTACAGAAACACCTATATGTACGTGCACATGCATTTACTCACATATGCCTTCCTATGCACATATATGCATACATATCTATCTACGTAACCACATACATATTTTTTGGTTGTTGTTACTGTTGTTGCAAAATTGTATCTGTTATAACATTTACCAAAATTGTCTTTTTCTTGTGTACTTCTTAGTGCCTTCATTTACTTTGGTCAAGTTGTACTGACTTCACCCATGTTGGGTATTGTCTTTTCCATCAACAAAAATAACTAGTGTCTACTATCTACACGCTGATTCCCCCTCCCTCTTCTTCCCCTCCCTGGTGACCATCAAAGAACATTGCTTCTTGCGTGTATACCTATTCTTGACTTTTTATAATAGTAGGAGCATGCAATATTTGTCCTTTTGTGATTGACTTATTTCACTCAGCATAATGTCCTCCAGATTCATCCATGTTATGTTTCATGAACTCCTCATTAATCTTTATAGTTGCATGGTATTCCATTGTATGTATGTACTACAATTTGTTTATCCATTCATCCGTTGATGGGCACTTAGGTTGTTTCCATCTTTTTGCTATTGTGAATAATGTTGCAATGAATATAGGTGTACATATGTCTATTCTTGTCACTGCTCTTATATCTCTTGAATATATACCTAGGACTGGGATTGCTGGATCATCAGATATTTCTATTTTTAGATTTTTGAGGAAGCACTACACTATTTTCCATAATGGTTGTCTCATTTTATAATCCCACCACCAATGTATAAGAATTCCAATTTCCCCTACAACCTCACCAGCATTTGTTGTTTTCTGTTTTTTTGATCAGTGCCAATTTTGCAGGGGTGAGATGGTATCTCATTGTAGTTTTGATTTGCAATTCTCTAACAGCTAATGATCATGAGCATTTTTTCAGGTATTTGTTGGCCACTTAAATGTCCTCTTTGGTAAAGTGTCTGTTCGTGTCCTTTGCCCATTTTTTTTTACTGAATTTTTTGTCTTTTTGTTGTTGAGTTGTTGAAGTTTTCTATATATTTTAGAGATTAGACCCTTATCAGGTATGTCATTGCCAAAGATTTTTTCCCAGACTGAAGGTTTTCTTTTTACTCTCTTGGTAAAGTCTTTCGATGAGCATAAGTATTTAATTTTTAGGAGCTCCCAGTTATTTAATTTATCTTCCATAGTTTGTGCATTTTTATAATTGTGTTTGATAGGCTAATGTGCTGAAAGTTAGGTTCACTAGTTTTGTCCCTATGCTATCTTCCAGGAACTTTATAGTTTTAGCTTTAACATTTTGAGTTAGTTTTTGTGCATGGTATGAGGTATGGATCCTGTATCATTTTTATGCAAATGGATATCCAGTTTTGCCAGCACCATTTGTTAAAGAGACTGTTTCTTCACTCACTGAATGAACTTCGCCCCTTTGTCAAAGATCAGCGACTGCCCCCTTTAAATGAGATATGCCTCCAGCTCTCCATAGTCTCCATCAATGCCTTATCCCTCCATTTCCAAGCTTTATCCACTTCACTCAATTTTGTATTCTGCATGGCCTGGGTCTTTGAGTTTTCAGCTCTGGTCTAGACCGTCATGGAATCTCAAAAACACAAAAGGTGTCAATACATCACCAGTCTAACCTCCCCACAAAACAATAACACAGGAATCCTCATTCATATCTCAGGTGTCCTGGAATACCTGAGTTCATCCTCCATTTCAGCTCTTTCAGTAAGGGGCATTCACTACATAGTAAAGCCACCCATTATTGTAGTTTTTATCATTAATAACATTTGAATATTGTGCTCTTTTAAGAACTATTTATATGTGATCAAATTGACAATAGCAACTCAAAAGACTAGAGAAAACTTAGGGGCGGTGAGTTTATGGTAATGGGGGAGGAACAATTCAGAAAAGGAGGGTTAGAACGGTTGCACAACTTGAAGAACGTAACCAAAGTTACTGCATTGTACATGTAGAAATTGTTGAATTGGTATATGTTCTGCTGTGGAAATTCTCAACAACAGCATCAACAGAGTTGTATAATGATTGAGAATTTACAAAATGCTTTAAATACATTATCTTGCTTGAGCATCGTAACAAACCACATTTTATAGATGAGGACATTGAGAAGTTGGTGACTCGTACAAGGAAATGAAATCTGAGCTCAGATTTTCTGGCTTCAAATTCCATGTCTTTTTTTTTTTTAATATGAAGTATTTCAAAAATACAGAAAAGTACAAAATAATATTACAGACATCCACATCTCCACATCCCCACCACTGAGATTAAACAGATGTCATCATTTTGCCATATTTGCTTCAGTGCTCCCCACACTCTTTCCACTGTGCCACTAATCAGTGTTACAGCATTCTTCTTCATCCTGTGCCAGAATCAAGGAGCCTGCATAGAATAAGTACAACTCCTCTGTTGGAGGGCCCTTCTTCCTTCATTTCTAAATTTATGTTCATGAGGACTTCCTTGGTTCAGGCACAGTTTGGAAGAGAATCAGGGCCCAAAGGGAAGAATGAAACAAAAACACTTCATGAATGTTCTTATCATAACAGTTGCCATCCCTATCAATCTCTTTGTTTTTCTACCAACTGACTAACTCTCTTTTCAAACAAACTCAAAGAGATGGTCCTGATTGTTTCATTATACTGGAATATTTGTTGTTGTCACCTGCTGTCCGGTCAACCTTGACTCATGTGCCCCCATGCACAAGGGAACAAAATGCCACCCAGTTCTGCACCATACCCCTGATCACTTGAGGATTGGACTGTTTTGATCCATAGGATTTTCATTGGGTGGTTTTCAAAAGTAGATCATCAGGCCTTTCTTTCTAGTCTGTGTTAGTCTGGAAGCTCTGCTAAACTTGTTCAGCATCATAGCAACATGCAAGCCTCCACTGACAGACACGTGGTGGCTGCACATGAAGTAAATTGGCTGGGAATCGAACTCAGGTCTCCCTATGGAAGTCTAGAATTCTTCCACTGAATCACCACAGCCCCCATACTGGAGTATACCAGAAAAAACAGTTGCCATCAAGTTGATCCATACTTATGGCAACCCCATGTGTGTCAGAGTAGAACTGCACTCCATAGTATTCTCAATGGCTGACTTTTGGGAAGCAGATCGTCAGGCTTTTCTTCCAAAGCACTTCTGTTGGACTCAAATCTCTAACCTTTCAGTTAGCAGCCAAGTGCATTAACTAACCATTTGCGCCACCCAGGGACTCCAAATAAGTGGACTTTATCCAGAGGTGAGGATTGAAAAGGTTGTAGTTAAGCCAGTGGTTTGCTTGTCTTGGGACTACTTGCCGTGGATCTACTCAGCAATTAGGGAAACAGCATTATGTGGGGTGGAGGAATCAAGAGAAGCATTTTCAACTTTGCCACTCATTTGTTGGGCCGCTTATAACTGGTCGGTGTCACTAGGCCTCCTTTCCCTCTTAGAGATAAATAGCAAAGCGGATGATAGCAAAGACTGGACTCCTGTCACCCCTGCTCCAGCATGACCCAGATATATTCTACCCACCAGCACAGCTAAAGAAGAGTCATCCCTCACCAGGAAATGACACTCATTTCACGAGTAGAATGCAATCAGGAGAAAGAACGCTGAGGAGCCAGCTCAAGATGAGTCATTTGGCTCAAGAGATGCTTGTCAGTGGTCCTAGCCACACACTGCACCGCCAGTAGCCATTTCACTTGATCTCCACACTGATGCTCAAACCACAGATTTCCTGGGCCTGCAGCCTCCCAGGAAATGGAAGCTAAACATCAGATGATTCATATTTCCTCTAAAGAAGCAAGAGAGAAAATACCTGCCACAGAAATTGCTGCCAGCTTTCAAGGCCCTGGCCTGGGCTGCTCCTCCTGCCTCCTGGGCTGATGGGCACAGGCTCCTGCTGGGCCAGAGGCAACCTGTCCTCTAACTGGCTTCACTGTGAAGAGAGAGAGGAAAGAGAAGGGGAGGAAGAGTGGGAGAGAAGAAAAGTGAGAAAAGGAGAGGAGAGTTAACATGTATTAAGTGACCATTATGAGCCAGGTTCAAACTGCCCAGCCGCTTTACATATATTATCTCATGCAGTTTTCACTACAAGGAGCCCTGGAGGCATAATGGTTGAGCACTAGGCTGCTAACCAAAAGGCTGGCGGTTCAAACCCACCACCAGTTCCATGGGAGAAAAGACCTAGCCATTTGCTCCAATAAAGATTACAGGCTAAGAAATCCTATGGAGTTCTATTCTGCCCTATAGAGTTCCTATGAGTAGGAATTTACTCAATGGCACCTAACAACAACAACCATTTTCACTACAACACTGTGAGGTGGACTTTAGCTACTACCTGCCATACTATATGTGTCATGGATTGAATTGTGTCCCCCAAAAATATCTGTCAACTTGGCTGGGTCATGATTCCCAGTATTGTATGATTTTGTACCATTTTGTAATCTGATGTGATTTCCTTATGTGTTGTAAATTCTATCACTATGATGTAATAAGATGGATTAGCGGCAGTTATACTGATGAGGTATACAAGATTGGATAGTGTCTTAAGCCAATCTCTTTGGAGATATATAAAAGAGAGAAGCAAGCAGAGACAGATAGGAGACTCATACCACCAAGAAAGCAGTGCCAGGAGCACGTCCTTTGTACCTGATGTTCCTGATCAGAGAAGCTTCCAGACCAAGGGAAGATGGATGACACGGACCTTCCTCCAAAGTCCACAGAGAAAGCATTCCCCTGGAGTTGATGCCCTGAATTTGGACTTGTAGTCTACTGGACTATGAGAGAATAAACTTCTCTTTGTTAAAAACCATTCACTTGTAGTATTTCTGTTATAGCAGCACTAGGTGACTAAGACAATATGTTTACTTATTTAATGCCTGTTTTCCACACTAAAATATAAACTCCATGAGGGAAATAGCTTTGTTCGGTTCATTGTCCTATCTCCAGTTTCTAGAATGGTACCTGGGACATAATGGCAAATAATAATAATTATAGGTAGTACTTATCTCATGCCAGGTGTCCCTGGGTGGTACAAACAGTTAAGTGCTTGACTACTTGCCAAATGGTTGGCAGTTCAAACCCACCCAGAGGCTCCTCAGAAGACAGACCTAGCGATCTGCTTCTGAAAGGTCACAACCTTGAAAACTCTATGGAGCAGTTCTGCTGTGCATACGTGCAGTTGCCATAAGTCAGAATTGACTCAACAGCAACTATAACAACAACATCTTATGCCAGATGCTATTTCAAATATTTTCATACATTAACTCAAGCAAAGAATAAGAATAGTAAAACCAAAAACCAAACCAGTTGCTGTTGAGTCAATTCCAACTCATGGCAGCCCAGTGTGTGTAAGAGTAGAACTGTGCTCCATAGAATTTTCAGTGGCTGCTTTTTGAGAAGTAGACTGCCGGACCCTTCTTCCAAGGTGACTTTGGGTAGACTCAAACCTCCAGTGTTTCAGTGAACAGCCAAGTGCATTAACCATTTGTACCACCCAAGGACTCCAAAAAAGATATATAATAATAATAGGTAGCATTTATCTCGTGCCAGACACTGTTCTAACTATTTTCATAAATTAACTCAATTATTTTTTATAACAACCTATGGTGGAGGAACTACTATCCTCAGTGGTGAAAATGAGGCACAGATAAAACAAAGAAGTTGTCCATTCCACTACAGCTAGAGAACTGTAGAGTCAGGATTCAAATCCAGGCCACTAGAGTCTAGGTTCTTAACCATGATGCTATTCTGTCTCTCTTATAGTGGATGCTCGATAAATATTTGCTAAATAAATGATTATACCCATTTTACAGATGAGTACACTCAGCTTCTTACTAAGATCACACAGGTTATAAGTGACACAGCTACGGTTCAAAATGAGGTCTGTCTAATGATAAACTACTATACCATAACCTAGAAAATTTTTTTTTTTTAATTTTTTTATTGTTATAATTAAATGAAGTTTACATTTCAGGTTAGTCCCCCATACAAAATTCTTATACATACATTGTTATGAGACCCTAATTTTTGAACCCACGCTGAGACAGCACACTCCTCCTTTCTGCCCGATTCCCCATAACCATTCAACCAGCTCCTAACCCTCTCAGCCTTCCCATCTCACCTCTGGACAAAAGCTGCCCCTTTGGGCTCTTGTATCTACTTGACTAGGAGGCACACTCTTCACGAGTATCACTTTATATCCCACAGTCCAGTCCAATCCCCGTCTGAAGAGTTGGCCTTGGAAATTCTTTTAGTTCTGGGCTGATAGAGAGTCCAGGGGCATGCTTTCTGGGGTGCCTCCAATCTCACTCAGACCATTAAGTCTGGTCTTCTTACTAGAATTTGACTTCTGCACCCCATCTTCTACTGCTCCATCAGGGATGCTCTGTTGTGTTCCCTGTCAGGAGGTTCATTGATGGTAGCTGGGCACCATCTAGTTCTTCTGGTCTCAGGCTGATGAAGTCTCTGGTTTATGTGGCCCATTCTGTCTGTTGGGCTAATACTTACCTTGTGTCTTTGGTGTTCTTTGTTCACCTTTACTCCAAGTGGTTGGGATCAATTGATGCATCTTAGATGGCCTCTTGCAAGCTTTTAAGACCCCAGACGCCACTCACCAAAGTAGGATGCAGAACATTTTCTTAAATAAGATTTGTTACGCCAATTGACATAGATGTCCCCTGAAAGCATGGTCCCCAGACCCCCTACCCCTGCTACTCTGTCTCTCAAAGTATTTGATTGTATT